CAGAAGGAGGAAGGAAGGGATGAATGGGTAGAGCACAGGGAATTTTTAGGGCAGTGAAACTATTCTGTAGGATACAGTAATGGTGGATACATGTCATTATACATTTGTCAAAACCCACAGAATGTACAATATGAAGAGTAAATTCTAATACAAACTATGGATCTTAATTATTAATAACGTATCAATATTAGCTCATCAATTGTAACAAATGTACCACACTAATGTAAGATATTAATAATAGGGAGAGTGTGGGTAGGATGGAGGTGGTTTATGAGAACACTCTGTACATTCTGTTCAATCTTTTTGTACACCTAAAACTTCACCAAAAAACAGAAATTAAAAAAAAATTTCTTCATTAAAACATGGTTTTAGGAGCCACTAACACCTGGAAACTGAACATAGTGAAGATGTGAGTCACTTGTCAAAAGTGAATGACAAAGGCTTTGGAAGTTCTGTGGAGGATATTAAATAGAATGGTAGACGCTCTACTAAAGCTCTTGCGAAATAACTTAAACATTAAGTGCCAAAGAGAATGAATCTGGAACTCCCCCCCAACAATTTTATTAATGGGATGAATTTATTGGAAAGCATCGTAATGTTTTAGGTCATGAAATAAATAATGTCTACTTTTAGAAAAGTAAAGTTCTTCCATTTTCCCCAGCATCTCAATTTCTCAGTTTTCCTATAGTACATATCATAGAATTATCAATGTATCAATATATTAAGATTTAGGCACTGTTATTTCGTCAGCTATTCAAGACTTACGACACAGTTCTGAGGCTATATGTGCTATTAATTTGGTTTTGTTTATGTGTTTATTTCAAGGTTCTTTTAAATTGGTTCATGGTGTATTTGATCTTTCTAATTAATCATAAATTGCTTGTCATCCCTCCATCCCCAAACACAGACTTTCAGATACAGCAATCTTTCTACCAATGTTAACTGCCCAACTTAAAAATCTGTCCCTGAAGGAAAAATCACTATTTATCTTGAAGCTGCTGTAATTATTTTATGTCAGCATACGATTGCTGTGACTGGCCAACTGAAATATTTTCTCTTTGCTGGCCTCTTATTATCATCTACAAAATATATATTAATTCTCTATATCCTTTTACTATTACTTTAGCATGGTGTTGACAAGTGGAACTTAGTGTTGTCTAGTTCCTTAGTGGTTACTAAGTGCAATCTCTCTCCATCTTTCTGAAAGCCTTCATAACATCCTGGAGAGAGGACAGGCGTTTGGTTGAATATTTTATGAGACATAAATCATCACCTACAAGAAAAAGCAAAGGTCTGGACAGTTTTCATTGTTCAAAGGTCTTTAGGTTGAGAACACGTCTGTCTTTCTACATCTGTCATATGTTGGTTTCAGTTGCATTATCACTAGGATGAGGTGAGCAAGGCATTTGCCCAGTGGGCAAAAGTTAAGAGAGCACCACAAAAGTCAGTAATCAAGAAAAATAATATTTTAATGTAATATTTGAAAAAAGTAAAATTAATGCAAAAAGTCTATGATGAACAAAATATCAAAATATTAAAGACAGCCTCCACCCAGGCAAGGATTTGGGTGGGAGGAGGGCGGTGAGACATACAAGGACAGGGTCAGCTCCTGTCTTTACTGGAAATTTCCATTTCTTGGGGGTGACGTCCTATTTGGACATTGGAGATTCGACCCTCAAAAGGAGCCAGCCTAAAGTCGTTGGTCATGTGTGCTCATTTGTAGGAACCTCAGGGTGCAATGTGTGTGCCTAGAGATATCGGTAAACATCCTGCCGCTGGCTTCTGTTTCAGTTTGGTACCACTGCTACTGGCTCTACTTCTTACCACAGTTCCCAAAGCTTCCTCGTGCCTTGGCCTCCAGCCCTCGCTGCAAGCCCTTTGTGCTAGATCACTCTTGATGCAAATACACCTGGGGACATCCATTCTTCACTCCACTTTAATTGGTTTGGATTGGAACGTGTTTTGTACTTGAGTGAAATATATCAGAAATCTCACCGAAGTTGATTTTCAAAATGGTGTTCTTAGAGATGTACCCCTGTAGTTTATATTGGCTTGTCTTAGTCGTTAAACGTGACCAACATTTTCTATTTTTCTACGAGACCAAGGTAACCATGAAAAAGTGCTTCTCCATATAAACTAACCTGTGGAGGTTTATTTTCTGCACAACCTACCTAGTAAGTTCAAATTGGTGGTGGAAACAGAGGTTGGGACGCTAATGGAGTGAAAGAAACATTCTTTAAGCCTGCTTTAAGCAATAAACCACCCCAAAGTTGTCTTAGAAAAGACAGCCTAAATAACCACTGTGCTTGGGCCTCACAGCCCAACCCCATCATGCCATCAATATCCTCTTTATAAGCAGGGGTCCATGTTTTATAACAGTGTTCTTAAAAAAAATGGCGGTAGGAAATTCAACGTTGGATAATTCAGATTGCTGTTATGATTTATTTGCACCTAAAAAGAAAACAATCATGGAAGATGAAACATCATTGCCTACAGGAGTGGTACAGTGTCTGATCACTATCAATTCACTTCCTCTCATTTTTTTCATAACCTCTTATTGAATAATTATTTTATTCTTCACCTGTATATAATCCAAATAAGCTAGAGCAAAACAGGTACATGCTTATTTAGGGAGGGAAAAACAAATATAGTAATAATAAAGACTATATCTATAGTCAGTTAACAAATTGCAGACTCTCCAGTTTTGGAGAGAAAGCCTAGAAGATGATTCCCTCTAAAATGGACACCAATACTGTGAAAGTGAATGACATTAGTCATTTTGAGATGACTGACTTTGGGGGATGTTCTGTAAATGATTTGCTGTGTAGGCCATGCCGTTTCCTCTGGCTTACCATTGAAACCTCAGCCTACTGGGAGGTGATGTAACATGAGCTGTAATTGTGAACACTAGCATATTTATGAAAAACACAAAAGATGGATAGACAAAACACTGAGAATAGGAATTTGCTTTTCTAAAAGGAGCAGAGGCAGTGTATCTGTCAGGCCATAATGATGAGGAGCACAAAACAATTTCAATTTATTGAGTATGAGAGAAGCAATACCAGTTTCCTTAGGCATATTAATTTGGATTATTTCAACAACTTTAGAAAGTCAATGTTATTATTTCTTTGAAAAGTGAGCAGACTGAGGCTCAGAGACTTTACATGCCTTGACGAAAGTCACACAGTTGGTATGTGGTTGTGACAGTATTTGAGGTTAGGTCTGCCTAACTCCAACACCTGGCTCTTTCTCCATGAGCTCCTTCTCAGCTGTCCAAGTGTTTCCCCCATTAGGATTTCATATTATTTAGTGAGACAATCCCCAGGCATCATCCCAGGTTGGACAAATGCTCCACAAAGTTCTCCAACTTGGATCCACAAATCAGCAGTTGCTTTTTTTTTGTTTTATTTTTTTTTTTTGGTGAGGAAGATTCACCCTGAGCTAACATCTGTTGCCGGTCTTCCTCTTTTTGCTTGAGGAAGATTAGCTGTGAGCTAACATCTGTGCCAATCTTCCTCTATTTTGTATGTGGGTCATCACCACAGCATGGCTGATGAGTGGTGTAGGTCCATGTCTGGGATCTGAACCTGCAAACCTGGGCCACTGAAGCAGAACATGCCAAACCCAGCCACCAGCCCACAGGGCCAGCCCCAGCAGTTGTTTTTTTAAATAATTTCTTTCTCCAAGTGCCTCAGTTTTGAGGAAAATGCACCCTGGATGAGGAAATCATCATTCCTAACACTGGAAAGGAATAATCTATACTCTCTATTAATTTACCAGTATTCTGATTTTTAGATAATTTTCCATGAGTTTTGTTAGTTTGACTCTGACCAGCACCTGACAACTCTCGGATGAACTACTAAATTCAAGTTTCTAAAATGACAAACTTGAGGGACAGCTCCATTGGTTTTCTATGGATTTTCCCATAATTTTCTTAAAAACACATCTTTCTAGGAGCAATACCAAAGAAAGCCAGACTGCTGTGAAGTTTCTTGCTGCCGTTGCATATGTTGACGCTCCACCTCAAATGCCTTCTCCTCTAAAAAATGCCCCCTCCTCCTCTAAAATCCAACTCAAATGCTCTCAGTTCTTTTGTGAAATCACTTGGGAATCTCCCAACAAAGTCAATCTCTCATTCTTTTAAACTTCTGTATAATTTTGCACACACCACTGTTATATTCACTTGGCAATCTATAGTAATTCCTTCTGCATATTTCTCTTTTCTCATCTAGCCTATGAGCTACCCAACAGCGTAGATGAAGTCAGAGTCACCTTGTTATCCTGCCACCCACTAAAGCACATGGCACAGGAAGAAATCCTCAGTACTTGTAGAAATGACTTTAAAAACCAGACAATCTTATCTTTGAAAACTGCAGGCTTCAGGAAGATGTAAGAAGATGAACACTTACTAGGGGCCTATTTTCTCATTGAAGAGCTTAACTGAACTCTGCTGTTGAACCGAGTTTAAGTTCACTGAACTTGATTCTTTAATATTAAGTTTCCTATTGTATCCTTTCTTTAGCTTGCAATTGGCCTCTCCAAGTTTAACACAACCTTCTGCTTGTAGAAGCATAGGACACCTCATCTAATAGGAAGAAAAATGGAGGCTTGGAAAGTAAGGGATTTATCCAAGTCACACAGCTAAGTGGGAGACATAAACTAGAACTCGGGTTCTCTGAGCCCCTTTGTTACTCTCTAGTAGACAAAGGTGCTATGGAAAAATAATAATAACCTTTTTTAAGCTTGTTTATGGCTCTTCAACCTATTCAGAAGAAAACTTATTTTTCTTCAATAGTCACAGTCACTATACCATGGAAAAAGTTGCCACCAGGTTTGGTGACTTTCCAAACAAGGCCCTTCATGAATTCCATGTTAGAAATATTGGTCCCATACTAAGAATTGTGGTTTTCTTTTCTCAATGACAGGGCAATAAAATGCAAGCACATGTTCATCCAGACATACTGGCTGCCAATAATGAAATGAGGAGATATTGCACTGACCGTAGTCTGTGTTTTCCGGCTCCCAACAATTTGATGGCCAAAAATAGGGTGTCTGTGGAATGAAGAGAATTGGAACCCAGGTTAGAAACATAAAGAATTAGTAGAGTTTCTGGCTTATGGGGTGTGTTTATCTTCAGCAATTATCTAGAATAGTTAGCTAATCACGTATGTTTTATAATCCAGAAAAAGTATCCAGAGAGGCACTGAAAGGTTTTTCTTCTACATTTACTTTGCTGAGCAATTGTTCAGCCTCCAAATACATGCAGCACCAGCAGGCATGTAAAATATCATACGTTTGCTGCAATTTTATGTCATCTGACCTAAAGGTCAAATGTCTGATTGCATTATTCAAACAAAATGTGTTAATCTACAAAGATGGAAAGCAGAGTATTATATATTCAGCAAGACTCAAGATGAAATATATTTAAATATAACAAATTGTTTTCTATGATTCATGTATCTCATCATTGGCTTCAGAAGATTCAAAAACTCCACCCTCAAAATCTTTCCCTAAGATCTGGCAATCATTTGCCTGGCTCCATTAATTATATAATGTGGCTCTCAACATTATCCAATTAGATTTACACAACTTTTTCTCCTCACTTCTAAAAACATTTCTTCATAAAGAAACTTGTTGCTCTAAATCTTTGAACTTGCAAACCAGAGATCATTTTTTTAAATTAATAATGTCTTACTTCATTAAGGTGATTAACAATAGACAAAAATCTGACTCTGTGAAATTCTAGAAACTGATTGACGAAACTAACAAGAAAATGTCTTATTTGGAAAATCCCTATTATTTTCATCCACATTTTATAATTTCTAAAGGGACTCTTCTAGCCCTGCTAGTGGGACATGCTTGGTTCTGGACCTTGAGGAAGCTCGGTGACCACCTGTCTACTCTATCAGACTATTTCCTCAGATGCTGATGACGCTTGGATTCAAAGGGACAGTGACTGCAGACACCAGCCTTGTGGCTTAATTATACTTATTATCCTTACTAGTCAGTTACATTAACTGTCCGTATGTAGCAAGCATATTTGGGGGTAATAACTGATTATGTGTTTGATAATTCTACCCTCCAGAAGAAGGATTCACAAGGAAGGGGAAAGGAGAATTGGGGAGAACTGTTTGAATCTTTGGGCAGAGGCTTTCTAGACTGTCTGAGATGCCTGGGGGATTCTGAGGTACCCTCCATTCTTTCTTGAGAATTGGTGCATTATAATAAAGAAGGCTACTAATATTAGTTTTGCACACATTTGAACAAAATGACAGCAGGAATTTAGGGGGAAAAAGGCTGAAATACTAGACAAAGGGGTATAGCAAGGCTTTATATGGGCTCGCCTCCTCACCTAAGTCCCACTTGACTCCGGGAGATGGAGCTTTGGAGATTTGGTTTCCTAGAAATAAAATGGGGTCAAGATTCTAGGGGAATCATCGGAGGACAAAGTATTTAAAATCTTGCTTTCATGTGGGCTGCTAGTTTTTGAGATACTTCTCATAAAGTGCATTATTTCCTTTGGGCTGCTTCTTTATTTGGGGAGGGGTGTGTGTGTGTGTGTGTGCACGTGCACGTGCACATATCTATTTATCTAACTTTTAAAATATCTATTCTAGTTAGATTTTGTCAGAGGCATACTTTTTTTCTCAAAACCACAGGGAATGTCCACAGCTGCATTCTTACAATTTTTCTTTATTCTTTTGTCATTTACTTTAGTGAGAATTTCCTGACTGTAAAAATAAAAGAATGAAGCTATTTATCCTGTGATAGCCTGTGGAAATGCCATAAAACCAACATCCTTCACCAATATTACAAGATTTTTCCTAGGAAAAATATTTTGACTTATAGTAAAAGACAATTTAAAGAATAACGAACCCGTATAGTTTGTTGGAATTTAAAAATCTCCTTTTACACTTCCACTAGACTTGAGGACATTTTGATGTACGAGTTTCTCTGCTTTTCAGTGTTGGCTTCTTTGGCTATGATAAAACTGATCCCAGACTGTCCGGCCATTGCTCAATAATCTTTGGTACATATGCTAATGTGATGAAAGTCGTGAAACGGACTTGGGGAATCATGTCAGACCTCAACTCCAATTAGCTAAGAGAAGGTAATTAGACAATTGTGAGTTTATGGTAAATACAAAAATCATATGATTAAAAATGTACTGAAAAATTGAGACAAATTTACACGCTGTCGCATGCCAATGAAATTAAATTACCAGTTCTGTTTGTCTCAAACTCATGCCCTGAAGCTTCTCCAGATTCCTAATGATGGTTAGAATCTCAATCACTTACTGGAGGAATTATAAACATGATATTGCAAGTTTCCCATTTTAATTCATGATGTTTAAAATCCTTCCAAGGAGTTGAATTTCTGTTCAATGAAATAAAGAACTTTCTGTTGCTTGGAACCAACACAAAAATGCAAGTGAACGCCTTGAACAATAATGTGTTTGCTATTATTCGTGCTGTTCAAATATTAACTGATTAATGCCTTAGTAGACATTATAGCAGGAATTCAATTATCCCCCACTTTTCTAGTTTTTTGTTTGTTTTTTAAATCTTCATTTTAAGGTACTATAATTATTACATTTACAAATATGTCACATTTAGGTCTTATTTCAAATGTGGATGTGTCATCAAAATATTTAAGATTTAACATTAATTAATGCAATTTAAAAGATTTTCTATCTATCTATCTTTCATCTATCTCTCATCATCTATCTAGGCACATTGAACTTAATAACCTTCTGCCTATATACCGAGTAGTGGTGTAATTCATCATTTGCACCCATTCCCTTGCTTTGTTTTATAGTTTTTTAAAAACAGTGTCTCCTTTTCTGCAGAATATAGGGTGGTTCATTCCCAGCTTTGCTCATCTTTGACCCATGAGCGTGATTTATGGCATTTAACCTTGTCTGCCTGCTAATTTCAGTCTGAGAATGACAAAAGCGGAGGTAAAGTTTGCGAATCATGCTAATTCAGTGCATCATCACCAGCTTTGGGCCATGTCTGAGCTAGTTTGTTTTAAGGAAAATTTCTGAATTAGATAATTCTCAAGAGATAAATAGATTATAATTGATGCTTCCCTTATAGATGTGTTCTTTGATACACAGATGATTTTACTTGTAATATTGATTGTGAAAATAGATACAGGTTGATATTTTTGTTAAAAAAAATCATTTCATTCAGAATTTGTGAGAATTTTATTAGGCCTAGAGTATACTTATAGTCTCTATGTGAAAATTTTTTATAAGAAAATAAAATCACATGGGAAATATAACCTTGCAATAGAAAAGTATCTCCTTTAAAAATCAAAAAAGTGTTAGTAACACACAATCACTTTGTTTGCTAGTCACCAATAAGTTTTATTTATTAAAATGCTAACCTTAGGACCATGAGTTACTCTAACTTAATAATAACGCTGTCTTAAGCTACCATTATTTTCAATTTAACTGTATAAAGGATAAAGCTCCATTATTTTATAATTTTATTTATTTATTGTTTTTTCCCCAAAGCCCCAGTAGATAGTTGTATGTCATAGCTGCACATCCTTCTAGTTGCTGCATGTGGGACGCGGCCTCAGCATGGCTGGAGAAGTGGTGCGTCGGTGCGCACCTGGGATCCGAACCCGGGCCGCCAGCAGTGGAGCGTGCCCACCCAACCGCTAAGCCACGCGGCCGGCCCAAAGCTCCATTATTTTAAAGCCCTTTAAAATTAAGTATTTGACTCATTTAAATTGCTTGAATACTTAGGTCAGTATCACAATTTCGGGATATTGCATTATCTCCTAACTATTCAGTGCAAAAAGTCCTAGGATTATTTGCCTTGGATAAAAGGGACCTGAAGAAGTGGCAGTGAGAGTATTCTAGAAGGAGAATGATCTTGAGGACAATTTTTTAAACCATATTCTCTCTTTGCTCTCAGTTTTCCCAAGCAAGTTCTTAGGCACCCAAATTACTATTTAGTCATTTATTTAGATATAGAACATCTAACAATACTCAGAACAAGTGAGAAGAATGCTCCAATGTCTGAAAGTTGGACAAGGGGAAGAATTCTCTGAAAATATCTGTAGGAATTAAGCCAGAGGTTGAACTCTGGGATTATATGTGCCCTAAGTTTATAGGCTAGAATCCATCAGTCAGTTATAAACGAACCATAATGTCCAATGCTGTGTAGAATACACTTCACGTAAATCATTGTGAACTCAAGTGTCAACTGCACACTCAACGACTGATATTAGAGTTCACAGTCATTTCCTGAAAGAATAATAGCATCTGTCTCATTTGAGAATGACCTAGAATGACTCTTGTCAGCTTGCAAGTGATCTCAGGTGTCCTCCTGTTTCAGACGAGTATACACACACAAAACATCATGCATGTCAGTCTTCACAGACTTGTAGAAGGGCCTCAGATACCGACATGTGGTCGGCTTGTAAGATTAGTTAAGTTCTACCCTGGAGCTTCAAGTATTCCCATGACAACTTGCTTGGACTGAAGATGGTTCTGGATCACCAGTGGGGTACAGAGTATAATAAATTTAGTTGCATCTCTCAACTTCCTTCCTAGTAGCTAAATGTAACTTACAGGTGAAGACCTCTCCATCTTTCTGAATTCCATTAAGTCCTTCTCTGATTTTTTCTCAAGCTTTTTATGTAAAATATAACTTCAATCATTGCACAATTTAGCTTTCACAAATCATCTTAACTAAGCATACTCTATCTTTGTTTATTGCTTTTTATGTCTGAAATTTAACATTAATTAGTTTCTAACTAGCCTAGTTAAAGTAAAATGTCATAATTTTCAAAATTTCTGTAAAAACAATTAACAATCAAAATACAGACTTCTATTTTACTGTTAAAGAATATTTTCATTAAACTTACTTGAAACCGGTAAAAAGTGCCATCATCCTTGAGTGTGAGCACGTGATCTGAGATCGGAAAGAAGTAGCCATGGGCAGCCATTAACGTTCCCAAATGGAGCGCCTCCACTGTTCCAGGAAAACAGACACACAAAATAGGAAAGCTTTTTGTTAAATTGTGGATTTACAGGAGTGTAGAATTTTGTCTTGTTCCCTTTCGATCACATTCTTTTTTTTTTTTTTTGGCTGAGGAAGACACGCCCTGGGCTAATATCTGTGCCCATCTTCCTCTATTTTATATGGGACGCCACCACAGCAGGGCCTGACAAGCGGTGCATCACTGCGCTCCCGGGATCTGAACCCAGGCCGCCAGCAGCGGAGCGCGCGCACTTAACCGCTACGCCACGGGGCCGGCCCCTCGATCACACTCTTGCGTCCGCATTCTCAGCATCCTGAAAATCCTGGCTTTGTCCTTCTTCTTCCTCTTTCAGCTCTTTCACCCCAGGTACTAAGATGGCTCTGGTTCCTGGCAGTGATTGTGCAATGACCAACCTCCCCCCGTGATGACCAGCCCACGAGGACATCATGTGATGGCACATTGAAACTGGTAGATTACTCTGAAATCACAGAATCTGGCCCCTTCATTTTATAGATGAGACTTATTTTGCTATATGTTAATGTTCTTCCACAAATGATTCTATTTGGCATTTATATAGCATGTGAAACTTTTTAGAGTGTTCTTACTTGGATCACCCCTGGCCTGTATCCTTGATATCTAATGCTATCAGCAATTTTTCTAATGACATGGTCATTACGATATGTTACTAAGAGAATGTTAAGGCATCTAGAACCATTTATGCTACACTATGTGAGCCTCCAGTTTTGTGATCATCCAGACTGCTCTAGCATTTACCATTTTATATACAGTATTCTAGATATGGTCTATGAAGAGGTATATTTGACAATGAAGACATTATATTTTCCCAATAGGCTGGGAAGTAATATTGGAACATTGGAACATAATAGTGTAATAGTCATACTCTTCTACAGCAGCCAACAATTTCTTCCAACAAAAGGATTAATACAATTTGGTTAATAGAGATTACTGCATTTGCACAAAGACAACCTAAATTTGCTAACTTGAAGTCTAGAAAATATGGAACTATGCAAGATAGTTTTTAGTCCAACATAAACATATATGTGTATAGAAAATAGAAAAAAGTCAGATTGATTTATGTCTGTGTATCTCTATATGCAATTTATTTATAGATTTATTTCTGGTTCTTAGACAAGTAGCTATAATGGTTCTTTAACTATAGGATTCTTACAGAAGTTCCAGGTCCATGTGGATCTATCTATATTTCCAGCCATCAATCATGGGGAGCTTTGACACTCCAGCCAGTACTGAGTCACTAAGCTACTAGCTATGGCACGGCTAAGCATAAAAGGCCCTCTCTGCCCTCCCCACAACACCTATATTGGTTAAAAATAAAATAATTGTTAAATTTAATCTGTCATGGGGTACTATGATGCCCCTTTTAATTGTTATTTAGCATCTTGCAAACATTTTAATTGGCAACTTCTTCTAATTCTGGCCACTCACTGCATTGCTTTTGTCAATAAGAAAGAATGACTGCCAATCATCCTCTTTGCCATGTCCTTGAAAGACTGTTATTAAGTGTCACAGTCATCTTCTCCACACTCCCAATCAAGTCCCTCCCTGCATAGAATGTTCTTTTCCTACAAAGGATCAATTTTTTCATCAATTATATATATATTTTTTCATCATTTCCACATCCTTTTACTTCAGAGTCAAGATCTTCTCAAAGCCTGTACTGCTTACACTATACACCCACATATTCTGTGATTACTGTTAGAACTTGGGAGCTAGTGTGATGTGGAAAGAACAAAACCTTTGGAGACACCCCCTAGTGTTTGTTACTTAACTCTCTGTGCCTCCCCCATTTATTAATGAAGGTAATAAATCCACCTTGCAGGGTTGGTGTGAGAATCACGTGTAAAGAAGTTGGAATAGTGTAGATACTCAACAGATGTAGCTATTGTGCTTCATTATGTTCACACTGAATGATTTTTACTTTTCTCCAAAGTACTTTCAGGAGATCCACTTCTATAAATTTGCCTTCAACTAGGCTGAGTGAGAAAAGCTAGCAGTCCTAAATAGCATCACCATTTACATCTCCTCATTTTGGTGCATTGTTTATAAAATTAAACTGGGAAGAGGATCCATGAGGATTGCTGGCCCATAACAATGAGCAGGTGCTTGCAGCCTTGATCATGTTCCGAGTCCCTGAATGCTCCCGTCAGATGGCTGCGGGCAGAGCAATGTATTACATCCATTTTGGGATTTCAAGATGAGGTGGCCCACCTATCTTATTATAGCCATCTGTATTCATTTTATTCCCAGCGGTCTCTGGCCCAGCAAAATAATATTAACATGACTTTCCAGAAAGAGAAATTGAGCTACGGCACATGAGGAAGTTTGCAGAGTATAGATACAAGAGAGGAAAACTGAGATGCCCAGAAAGATAAATAGCAAAGAGCTTCTGAACCCTAAACATAGGAAAGAGTGTGACTAAACCAAACCAAAGAAACAACAAAAAATAGTTCGGTGCTAAAGTGTTAATGAAGATTAGAAAAATGCAGTGAAACTAAATACATTTGTCCCTTGGTATCCACAGGGGATTGGATCCAGGACCTCCATGGATACCAAAATCACGATGCTCAAGTCTCTTACATAAAATGGTGCAGTATTTGCATGTAACCTACACACTTCCTTCTCTATACTTTAAATCATCTCTAGGTTACTTATAATACCTAATACAATGTAAACACTATATAAATAGTTGTTGTACTCTTTAGGGAATAATGACAAGAAAGAAAGTCTGTACATGTTCAGTACAGATGTAACCATTGTTGGCCTCTTGATCCGCGATTAGTTGAATCTGGAGATGCAGAACCCATGGATCCGGAGGGCTAACTATATCAAAGCTCTAGAGAAGAAAATCAAAAGCAAATGAACATAAGGATGTTCTTACCTTCCTGCATCCATTAGATACTAACTCTGTGATAGATCATACATTTCTAGAGGGCAAGGCGCATGTCTGCAGGTTTTCTTCATGTCGCAGTATCATAATTAAGCCTGCAGAAATGCTTGCTCATGAGAATAATACAGAGTGAATTAGCTAGTAATCTCTACTTCATTTTTTGAGGTATAATAATCTATTTTTGTTTGAATTGATGATATATATTCTCATTTCACTACCCTTCCAAGAGATACTCATGCTCCATAACTTTATTAATAAGAAAAATTGGTTTTGATACATTTTCAAAGTGCCTTGAATTCAGTAGATATATATTTGTGGGGGTATCAAGAAAATAAAAATTTAGTTTCTACATGGCTCACACATACTTCAGATGCAGAGGTCAAATCAAACCATTTAACTTCATTTTTAAGAGAACTGAACTTCTAACAAAGCTTATAAAATAATTTCAAGGTCACTGGTTAAATAGTCACCCTGAGAGATTTCGATGATAGAAGTTACACGCTCTGTCACAGGATCTCCAGAGAACACGGCTCCAGGACAGGATAAATGCTTAGATGAAAACTCAGGAAGCTGGGGGGAATTCTCTGCTTCATTTAAGACTGCAAGCTTGGCACTTAGAAGAGCAATAGCAGGGCTGGCCCCGTGGCTTAGCGGTTAAGTGCGCGCACTCTGCTACTGGTGGCCTGGGTTCGGATCCCGGGCGCGCACCGACTCACCGCTTCTCCGGCCATGCTGAGGCCACGTCCCACATACAGCAACTAGAAGGATGTGCAGCTATGACAGACAACTATCTACTGGGGCTTTGCGGGGGTGGAAAAAAGGAGGAGGATTGGCAATAGATGTTGGCTCAGAGCTGGTCTTCCTCAGCAAAAAGAGGAGGATTGGCACGGATGTTAGCTCAGGGCTGATCTTCCTCACAAAAAAACAAAACAAAACAAAACAAAAAAAAGAGCCATAGCAAAAGTAGCCATTGAATCAATATGTGCTGAATGAGTGAATAAGTACCTTTATGAATAAATGACACATAAAGAATATGAAAAACATAGTATTGCATGAAAAATTACTAAACTAGTTATTTTGTGTCGTGATGATGAGCAGGTCGTTCAGCTCTTCCAAGGTAATGTAGATGTTCATAATCCCTTTTCAAAATATTTTCATAAGCTTTTGAGGTCGGGCTTTTGTTGGTATTCTATTATGGGAAAAGATAATAGTGATATATATGGCATAAAAGCCATTAAGGGATCTTAGAGTGGGCTTGGGGTAGCGTTCTCAAGGTTGAATTGTTTACTGTTAGTGATAAACATGGAGCTACACTTCCCTTGGTCCCACTGCTCCTGCATCTCGCACAGCCTTAATCTAATAAGAATCTGGAGGACCGCTGACAGTCTTGGAACAAAGTGTTGAGAGAGTTTAATGAGTAATCCATCAAGCTCGCCCTCCCAATAATGGCACACCAGATGGCTCTGCAAAATTATGCTTCTCGGCAAAATAATCACTAATTAATCTTCTTGTACGTGTGTTATTCGCGTCACCCACACAGCTAAATAAAGTTCAACAACAAACCTACCATAAGATTCCAGTTTATTTTTCACTTGGATGTTCAAGCCATGAACAAGCTAAGAAATAAAAATCCGTCTCCAAATCACCGTTACTATGTGAACAGCCCTGTGTAGCTTTGTTAAGCCTGATGCATTCATCGCATTATTTTACCCCAAGCCCTGAAGTAATAGAATTATCCAAATCCTTCAAAAGCAGAAGGAATTCTACACAGCATCATTTGCTTTTGAACTACAACTACCTCAGAAAGTTAACAGGATGAAAAGCTTGTTATATAAAAGCACGTTATATAAATTTAGGCCTGTGTCTTCAGTTCTATACTTCTCTACACAGAAATATATATTTCTATACTCAGTTCTATATTTACAACATATTTTCAAAACTCAGTAATATTTTCTTTATCCAGATGTCCCACTCCTGGCTGTTTCAGGCCCTCCCAAATACAGTCCATAATTTTGAAGTGGTGGAAAAATGCCTCTGAGTCAAAAAAATAGTAATTAAAAAATC